ACACTGTCAGCCCTGTCGGTGGTGGGGCAAGAACCTGGGGTACCTGCCTGACTGTGAAGTGTGGTCCAGGAGAGGGCCGCTTCTGTGGTCTCCATGGCCTCGGCTGTCCCAGCCATTGCCCAGGCTGTGCTGGTGACAGGTGTTTTAGGGAGCAGAGGCCTGCTTTAACTGCAGGTGGGCCACAGAGGCCTGCTTTAACTGCAGGTGGGCCACAGAGGCCTGCTTTAACTGCAGGTGGGCCACAGAGGCCTGCTTTGACTGCAGGTGGCCCATAGGTTGCACCCTGAAACGTGGACACCTGAAATGTGAGCTGCTAATATACTTGAGCAATAAATGGCCCTTGAAACCACCACGAGGTACTACAGGGGTCCACAGCCTTTATGAGGTGGGACTGACGCTGGGTGGAATTGCAATATATATATATATATATATATATATATATATATATATATATATATATATATATACAAGAATTGAAACACATTTCTAGCCAATATAGCAACAGTGTCCTGTTCTAAAACTGCATGTCTGGTTTAGTTGTTGGTTGTCTTAGGAAAGTGATGTGAATAAGACATAGAGATATGTAAGTGATGCGTAGATTCATGTGCTGGGCCTCTGGGCAGTGGCAGGAGCCACAGGTGTGTGGTGTTGAACCGGCTCACCTTGGTGGTCAGGTCAAGCAGGCCGGGCTGTCCGACCTCCCACCTCTTCTCTGGGACAGCTCTTGGCAGTCTGGTTCTGAGTGCATCTCTTCTCTCACTGTCTGGGCTTACTCTGGGTGTCCTAATGTGTATTTTTAATTCTCCTTTTCTCTCCTTTGCCACTGTTTGCACCTCTGTTCTCTCCTGTTCTATCACCCAATCCTATTTAGTCTCCCTTAACTGGGAGGAGAGGTAACTAGTAGACATTTCTGAGCCTTTTTTTTTTTGTATCCTGTCTCATATAAAAGTAGCGATGGTTGAATACAAATATATAGTGATTTTAAAACATTAATACCCTGGATTGATTTTTGACACTGCATTCTCAAACTCAGAAGTAGGGCCAGCCATAGAACAGAAGCGTCACCTTAGGGCTCCTGGGACAGCATGAGAAAGGACCTGTGGCTGTGGCATGGTGAGGCAAAAGCATGATGGCAGAAGCATGCAGGGCATGGGTGCAACCTGGGCACGTGGAATGGAGCCCCCAGTTAGTAGCCACGGTAATGAAACACTAGGCCTTTCCACCAGGGGACGCTGCACTCTCCAGTCTTTGCCATTCCCACCCCCCAAGTGCACTATCCCCAGAACCTGAGCTCATTAGGTTCACGACCCCTCCACACCTTGGCTTGGGCACATCCCTGTTTGGCATGCCTTGGGTGTGTTCCATTCTGTTCACCCAATCAACACCTACCCATCTGCTGAGTCCTTTCTCATCATCCATGGAACCAGCTAGAACAGACTCCTCCTTCATGCCCACTGTGATCAGAGGTATGGTCTCAGTCTCCTGGCTCCCCTAGTGCCCAGCACAGAGCCAGGCACACAACAGTATCCAATCGACACATGTTGGAGAAATCATGAGAGCAAAGTCTTTGTCTCCTGCTTTACTAGAAGGACAACAAAGTGAGCTAATACGGTTCTCCCCCGGCCCCACCCTCCCATCCTTGAATCGACTCCCTTGCCTTGAGACCCGGCCCAGATGCCCAGAGGACCTCTATCCTGCCCCCCTCCTTAGAGCCCTCTGACAGGAAGCTTTCCCTTATTTCCCACCCTGACAGGAAAACCTGTTCTCCACTCGAGCTTCCAAGTTCCCTGACTCACTGGGTCCTTGTCTGAGCCACTCTGCGGTTCATCCCCATGTCAGGTACATGCATGACACAGTGAGCCAACCCCTGGGTGCGACTTAAACGAGCAAGAGAAGGTGACTCTGCCCCCTGCAAGGAGAAAGGGCCAGGACGACACCGCTGCTGGCCACAGGAAGGGAAGAGGTAGACGGCAGCTTCTCACCCCGTGAGGCGGGGAGAGGCGCGGGTGGTCACCGCTCCAGGGACATGGCGTGAAAACATTACACTACCTTGTTAGCCAGGGCATCTCCAGGTCCATCTTCTCCTTTCCCAACATTTAGCTTTGACTGCTTGCAATTAGTACCTGAGAGGCAATCTAAAAGAGGCAAGCTGCATTATGGGGACCCCAGGAAAACTGCAGGGCACAGCTCATCTTGTACAAAGAGGCCCAGATGCCAAAGGCTGTTTCCTTTACCTACTCAGCTGGGCCTCACCAAGGAAATGCGATCAAGAAAGTGGTGTTCGTCTTTAGCATTTATTTATAACTGGAAAAATCCTGTTTGCTTTCTGAGCAAGCACAGACCACAAGACGTCACAATCAATTGGCTATACATGAATTTTTTTTTGTCATTCTTTTACTAACAGCAGGAATGAAATAGCACCGAGAGAGGTGTGCACTACATGATACATAGACAATCTGTGGTATGCAACAAAACCCGGGCCACAAAATCATAGACACTTCTCTCTGCCTCAGAGTGTCACAGCTTCAAGTGCTGTCTAGGAGCTGGGGCAGAGAAGAGAAAGCTGGGCACAGCTTGTGGGGAGTTTTGCAGGCAGGCCAAGAAAAAAAAAAAAAAAAGTCTCCATTCCAGCCCTCTTGCCCAAGGTGAACAGGGAACAGTAGGGAAATGTATGGAATGAGGGGTGGGCCTGGTCACCTGCAGAAAGACAACACCAAACACTCTTTGAGGAACCACGGTCAGTTTTGTCCAGTACGTTTGGGAGACAGAACAAGACCGGCTGAGTTTTGTTTGTAAACAGTAGAAATCGAAGGAAGTTTCTTGTCAGTGGAGTGAAACATTCAAGAGTCAAAGTGAACTGCAAACAGTTTTCGTAGGTGAGTGTGTGAGAAAGAGCGGGCACCGACAGCTCGACAGGGACATTATCCAGGTCATCTAAAGCCTCAGGCAGGGCAGGGTAAGAAATTCAGCCCCTAAGGCTATGGGGTCCTTGTGGTAAGCTACGGCAAACTACAGAGTGCACAACACCAACTCAACTAGTCACAGCACGTGTGGGGGGTCATGCACCTGGGTGTGTTACTATGGAGACCTGTCTGCCCACCAAGCCTGGCACAGTGCCCAGCACAAGGCAGACCATGAACAGTGAATAGAGGATCCCTTGTGCGTTGTAAACTCTGACTTACTTGATCTACAAAACACACAGCTATTATTCTACAGGGAAATCAAAGTGTGGCTAACAGCAGCTCTGGCTGATGCCAGGGCTTGAGAGGGGCATGCGCTGGCAGCTACAGTTGGAGCACTTGATAGAGTTCTCAGTAAACAGTAAGGCTGGCTAACAGGTAGCCAGAAACAGTACGGAGCTCTAGGCATTTCTGGACAGGCATGTGAAACCTGTGAGTCGCGGCCATGAGACTCATCAATGTCTCCTCCTTTCTATACCATGTCTCCCTCACAGTCCATGCCCTGAGACGGGAAAGACAGCATCAGGGGACGCCACAGACTTCATCTCTAGTCTGTTCTGTTAAAAAACGAAGGCTTGCACAGCCCTGCTGAGTTAATTCACAAACCTGTCTCGACCAGCCCCAAAAGTTAATTCACAAAACTGTCTCAACTAGCCCCAAACGGTGCAAACGAAACCTTCACTGCCTGCACAGTGAAACTGAGCCGGAGCTCGGGAGCTCCGCCTTCCCAAACTGCAAGGACCTGAAGGGACTTCTGAGGGAAAGAGCCAGGAGAGCCTCCCCTGAACCGCTTTTACCACAAGAGAAAGCAAACCGCACCATCCCAACTGCTCAGGACGCTGAGCAAATAAGGACCTCCAGGACAGGAGCAACCTATACGCCACCAGAACATTTCTGGTAGACATTTTGGGTTCCCTCGTAAGTAAGGAGGGTGGGCTCCTTTCATAACCACTCCCTAATTCCTACAACACAACTCTGGGGGGGCTTCCACCACACACAGGCAGCCCTGTAATACACCAAGAGCTGATTCCAAGCATCAAAACGCCATAGATGCTTGCTAAGCCCTTAGCAGGGCTCACCACACCCTCTGGCCAGATGCTCAGCATGCTGGCCTCTCTGTGAAGCAGAGTGAGAGCTCGGGGCTGGGGGTTGCATCGCTGTACCTGCTGCCATGTCTACACACCCCAGCCGCACATCTTAGGAACAGAAAGTCACAGTAAGTACGCTATGTGCCATCTGTACACCTCACTAGTCTCTGTTAGGTATGTGTTCTGCAACATCAGCAGTGTGCTGAGGGCAGACAGAGAAAAGCGGGCTCCCACTGCCGGGAGCTCCCTCTACAACATCTACAGCATCCCAAATACGCACGCACTCTCTGCCACTTCCGGCCGGCCCCAGCCAGTGGCCTATTACTTGACACACTATTCAAAGTCGACTGATAGGCACGAAGCACAGGCACGCACTCCTAACAGAGGGTTCCAGGAGAGGGTTACTTCTAGTTAACAGACAGAGTTCCATTTCATTGACAGTAAGGCCAAGGTCGGTTTGTTGCTGTTTTGCCTTTAACATTTTCACCAATTCTAACCATTGGAGCCGAAGCTGAACTTGGGTAGCACGCAAGCGTCCACTGAATTTGGGAAAGCACATTTGCCTAGAGTCCAAAATCGAGTGCTGCAAACTGTGGGAGGCACAGGGGGGGAGGAGGCCTCGCAGCAGACACTTCCGGTTCCACCAGGAGCTGCACTTGGCAGTAGTTGAGACCTGTCCCAGCCGAGACCCACAGGGAGCACACAGCCAGTGCACAAAGCTTCCCGGTGTCCCGGGGGCCCTGGCTGGATGCTGCGTCACCCGGAGGAAGAGGCAGTGGCCTCAGTCTGTGAAACATGATTCCTTCCAGAAAAAAAACCAACCACAGGGCTCCTGGGACACTCAGAACCAAGGCAGATGGGAAGTCTCTAATTAATTTTGTGGCCTTTTGTTTGTTAGTTTAAATAAAGGGGGTGCGGGGGGGGGGAGAAAAGGAAAGTGCAGTGACATTACTCTTTCGCCTCAGCCAGTTTATTGTTCATCTCTTTACTTGGCTCCTTGTCGTCGGGTTTGGTGGCACCGGGGCCCTCTGTGGTCTTTTTCTTGGCAGCCTGGCCCGATACCACCTGCTTGTCTTTGGCCTTCCTCGGGGGCTTATGGCTCGTTGAGGTCTTTTTTGGTTTGGAACTCTGAATACTAGGTTTCTCTACCTGCATGGGGAGACAGACAGACAGAGCACAGATATAGAAACACAAAAGGGAGGGAGTAGGAGAGGAGATGTAGAGAAAGACATTATTAACAAAAGAATAACGAGAGTGACCAGTGACGGAGTAGACAGGCAGAGCGAGGACAGAATTCAGCAGTGTCTGGGCATCTGGCTTCTGTTGTCTGAACCCACAGGCAGCCCATAGCCACACCCTCACCTGTCATTTCTCCCCTGGAGCAGACCAGGTGGTGGGCTAGATAATGGTTACAGCATCTATAGTCCCTCCTTGTGGGAAGGCCTTGCTCGCCTCAGGTCCAGGCATGTGGTTGGCTGTAGTCAGTGAGTGCAAGATACTCTGAACATCTCAAGGAGGAGATGCTCAGTCTTAAGAGGGCAGGTAGGTATTCATAAGGATGAACCATGGTTGATCCCTGGGGTGGTGAGTGTGTGGTTTCGGAACAACTCAAGAGTCAGGCAGGCGATAGTCACTACCAGCCGTATGCGATCTCTGGCTGGATCTAGCTTGCTTCCCCAGAGCAGTCCAGTCTCCAGGCCTCTCCTCTAGATCTTTCCTCTCATTCTGAAGATAGAGTCTTGCCTTCTCTTTCTCAGAGAACTCTGGAGTAACTAGGCTTGCTGACCATCCCTAATTTCCCCAGTCTTCCCCCCTTCCTTACTTGGAATCTTCTCTCTTTCATTGCCAACCTATATCCTGGAGCCCATTTCATCTGTGGACGGACAGAGCTGGTGTTGGGCCTCCCTGGCTGGGTCATTCACTAACAGGTCCACTGACCTCATCCTGATTTGCCTGGACTGGGGTGGGGGTGGGGGCGGGTTTGCAGGACCATGAAACGTTCAGTGCTAAAACTAGATGGATCCCAGATGAACGGGGTCAACCTGTCACCTTGGCTCCAAGCTGGTCCTGGAATAATGGAAATGTCAACTGAGTGCTAGACTTGAGGACAGAAGTGGAGAACGGCCAGTTAGGTTCTGGGGTTACTTTGGTCCCCAGACATGGTCTGCTATTACCCATGGGAAAGATGGTTATGTGCCCAGCGCTGTCTGGCCTGACACAAAGGGCGTGTGCTTGTGTCCAAGACATTTCTCCTGTTAACAAACTCCTACTGAGATGCAATTAGGTAGAGTGGTGTTACTATAAATAAATAAATAAAAATCCCCCAATCCTCATTCAGAAGCTGCCGCTTCAGTAGTAAATAACCAGGGACACTTCTCACACTCAGTGTGACGGGAGTGTGTGACACACTGGGCACTCTGTTGGGAAGAATGAGTGAAGGGGGAACCTTTCCAGGGACTGGGGCAGGGTGGGGGAGGAGCTGCGGAGCCAATGCCAGCTGCCAAACAGGCCAGGGAAGGGGCTGCAACGCTGGGTCAGTGGCTCAGAGGCCAGAGCACAGCTCCTGTAAAACAAGAGGCTTTCGCTCCCAAGTGAGATTTCCCTGTCGTTTTTACAGAATCTGGTGTGCCAAATGCTAAGCTAACTTTCCATAACGCTCCTTTCCAATGTGCCCTTCGAACTTAACAGAGGTACCTGCTGAAGATGGCCCTGGTCCTGTGTGCTGAGGCAGGTATGATTCATTGGGAGCTCCGGGGGCTGGCCGGAGCCCCACATTCTGCTTCCTCCAGGCTGTGCAGTAAGAGCTGTCTCACCTTGGGGGATTCCTTGAAGGGCTCGCTGTAGAGGCTTCGTATTCTTCTGCGCTCCATGGCCTTGTTGTCAGCTGCAGTGGGCTTATTAGCCTCTCCTTTGAACTGGGCGCTGTAGCTGGTCTCATGAACCATCTTGTCATCCGGGGGCTTGTACTGGGGCTTGGCTTTGATCGGTTTCACAGGCTTGATATCTGTCCATGCTCTGAATTCGTTCCTGGGAGTCAAAGAACGCATCAGTGATGAGAAACGCCACACAGCAGAGAAACGCTCCCCACCCCCCGCCACACACGAAGCTGGCTCCTGAGCCACACTGTGGCACTAACTGAAGTATGGCTGGCCGGGCGTTGGCATCACCGTCACCTAAAGGCCAACGGTTTTCTTTCTCTCAGAGTTCCCCTGGGTGTGGAAATGGCAATAGAGATCTCAGAGAAAGAGCTCAGGGTCCTCCCCAGGCCTAGACTCCGGGCAGCCAGGACAGCCATTCTCAACCTTCCCGTCCTGTGAGCCCAATTTCTAAAGCAGGCTGAGACACCCGGCCCCGTCAGTGCTTTGGGAGCTCAATGAACGTGGGATGCCTGTGTAAGCAAGGCTGAAGAGCTTCGGACTTGGTTGAGACAGGCACACTGCAGCTTTGCCACAAATACCAAGACCCCTCGCCACGTCTGGTGTGGTGGTGGAGACGAACTCAGGGCCCTGAGCTCCGGAGGCAGGAGTTCTGCTCCCCTCCAGCCTCCAGCCCTTCTCTCCCCACTTCTCACAGTGAGGAACCTCTGACGTCCCAAGTCCTCAGGGTGATCCCTCCCATGCCTGCTTCTTCTGGTGCCAGACCACCAGCGACCAGGTCACTCTGGAGAGAAGTCCCTGTGATGTGTCTTAGTGCACAGCGTGCCCCCCACATCGTCCGGACAACACAGCCAGGACTTGTGTTGGCTGTGTGTGGGTAGGATGGCCATCGTATGGGTGTAAATGGCTACTATTCTGTCCCTTACGTGACGCATCTGCCCCCCCACCCCCACCCCCCAGTGTCTCTACTCTCAGCAATCTCTGTGGTTTCCGCTCTTCGGATGTGTTGTTGTGTCTGTGGTTCTGGGTACTGAGCCCAAGGCCTCTCACGTGTTAGGCAGGCTCTC